GCTGTTTAGCCTAGGCTGAACCCCAAATTTACAGAAATCTTGCCTCAATTTCTGGAGTGCTGGGATTACAGAGGGGTGCCCCATTGCATCCTGTCGTTCAAAAAGGACGTTTTTTAGGGCCTTCCTCATTCTTCATGAGAACTTAGAGAGTCTTGGACTCAGGCTGAGAGAAGTCATTTGGATGAGCTAACTGCTGTACTGGGTTGGATTCCTGCAACCAAAATCCAAGACCTTTCTACACCATGGGCCCAGGGTTAGGGAGGGAGTGAGGTTTCAGACCCTTACATTAGGTTAAAGTAACTCAAACTGGAATTCAGGTCCCTAGAAGCAAGGTTCCAGCAGTGGGGGTTGCTTCACCCCATCCTAACATGTAGAGGCTGCTGTTCTGAGCGATGTTCCCTTGATAGCAGTGGCTATGCTGGTCCCTGCAAAGTTAGACCAGCTGAGGGTGGAGTGTAAGCACTTCCCCTTAAATCTGTCTCCCCAAAGACAGAGCAAGTACCTTTTCAGGTGTTGTGTCTGCGAGGGTCCCATGCAGCCCTAAGATGTCCCCTGGGCGAGGGTCCCATGCAGCCCTAAGCTGTCCCCTGGGTGAGGGTCCCATGCAGCCCTAAGCTGTCCCCTGGGCGAGGGTCCCATGCAGCCCTAAGCTGTCCCCTGGGTGAGGGTCCCATGCAGCCCTAAGCTGTCCCCTGGGTGAGGGTCCCATGTAGTTCTAACATGTCCCCTAGTGAGAGTCCCATGGAGTCCTAACCTGTCCCTTGGGAGTTCTGGCTTTTATTACCCTAGCCTTTTCCTTGTTCTCTTGCTCTCAGAACCTTTTCATAAAAAAACAACAAAACTTTAACATCTGGTCTCAGATGTAGCTTTGTACTCAGGTGTGCTACGCTATCATAGGTGTGACAATGACCAGGTACCCGCAATAAAGGATGATGTGTCTTGGGCTTTCTCCACAGCTGCTTGTCAGTTTCATGCGGGAAGAACCAGCAGAGGCTCCTGCAGTTATCTGTCCTGGGCCCCACTGTGCTTCCCCTCTACCCTGAAAAAGCAAGACGAGGCCTGGGGGATTGTGGGGCAGTGATTTGGGGGTTAAGGAGAAGACCTGAGTCCCACTCAGGACAGTGACAAATACCTCAGATTGTCGTCTTAAAGTTCTATGTCAAATTTTAAGGGCAGGGGTTGGGGAGAGAGTTGTTTCGAAGTTAACGTGTTTAGAAGGAGATCTAGACAATATTTACCATATTTTATAAAAGCTTGTTCCTACTCCATTCTGTAGGAAGGAATCTCCTGCCCACATTGCTAATATGAGTTAATCTTCCATCTACATGTTGTCCAAACAGCCTCTCGGGGAGGACTTCAAGATTCAGTGGCCTTGGTGTATACCAACTCCCATGTACACAGACGATAAAGAGGGAAGGGAATCCTCCCGGGACAGTGGGGGCGATAAGAAGAGATACCCCTACACCACAGATCTCTGGGAGACACTGGCTGCCTGAGCAGAGGACGAGGCTCAACTCTGGAGTGACTGACTGCTGTGTTTCCCTTCCAATATAATCTGCTGGCTAATGATGACATGGAAGGCAGAATTTAGGGATGGTAACCCAATGTCTTCTCAGATTGTTGGCCTGAAAAATGCCCGGTTTAAAGATTCAGTGTGTGGTATCTGCCTGTGTCAGGTTCAGCTATAAAACCACAGGCTGCTGGAACCTTAAGTACCTTAGAGTATTGCTAAAGTCAGTGTTCAGACATGGAGAGATTGCTCCCCAGAGCTTCAGCGATTTATCTGAAGTCCCCTTGCAGGGTTGGGTACTTCCTGCCTCCAGGTGTCAGGCTGTTGGGGGAGACTCCTAAGTCTTAGCTGAATAGTAATGAGAGCTTAGAGGGCTGGAAGAAGCATGGGTTAAAACCCAGGAAAAGTCACAGGGCCCGCTGATAGCAGTGAGAACTCTGGGGGCAGCAGACAGTGAGTGCTTAACTCTGCCTTGGAGGTCTGAAGTCCCAGGAAGCCAGATTCTCATCCTGGAGACTCAGCACTGTCCCAGGAGACAGAGACCTGCTTGAGGCAACCGGGGTGCTCATGTAATGTTCAGGCTTAGCCAATTAACTTCAATCAATTCAGCAATCAACTCTGCAAATGGGCTTACGAATAAGGAGGTGATTCAGGTTGGTCCAGAGACAAACACAGGGTTGTAGGAATTTTGCTAGAAATCTAGTGAACAGTGAGCATGAGCTTGCTCTGGAAGCTGAGTGCAGACTCAAGTAGCTGTAATATACTGTTGCTCTAGTAGTCTACACAGTAAGAATTCTAAAGAGGAGTCTGGAAGGTGTGAACACTTTAAGACTCATGGAGAAGGGTATTTGCTGAGCTTCCCCAACAAGAAGGCGGTCAAGCATCATCATTATCACCTCCACTGGAGCCACCTCCCAGATTCAACTCACAGATCTGGCTGGAGGGAGCTGGCAAGTCGTTACTGTTTTTCTCCAAGCTAGCAGGAGAAAAGTCCCCTCTGGAATGAATATGGCATTTTAATACTTTGAAATATTTTACTTGATAAAGCAATAGCAACAACAAAAAAAAATTCCTTTTCAGCTGCCGTCTCTTTCAACACACATGTCTATTGTCTATCCCCTTAGTCCATAGAAGAAGAAAGAGTAAAAGTCTAGATGAATCTGAAAGTTACTACAGATGATTTAGCTAATTTGGCTCAAATCAAGTTCTTAGTTTTTACTCATCCTGATCCCTCCACACATGGGAATTGGCCCCAGGTTTCTTTATAAAGCTCCTCTTGGAGAAGGGTAATTTCCTGTCAGTGGGTAGTGGGTAGTGGTCCACATCTGTGCTCACTGAAACAGATGGAAGAATTTAGAATCAGGACCTAGTGATTGCCAGTCAGATTGACCTAACGTCCACAGGCTGGGGCCCTGGGGCTTTCTGCCTCTGAGACTACTGATTTTTTTCAAGTATACTGCTTTTGTGAAATCATAAGCTTTAATTTCTTTTAAAAATATCAAAGCCTTTAAAAAGATGTAACAAAAACATACATGTTTAAATCTTTTATGAATTAAAGGTTAACATTTTGAAAAACCACCTGGACCAAATTCTGACATAAACCCTGCTGTTTCCACTTAATAGGGGGCTGTTTGAGGTAAAGGGTGAGCTGTTAAAACCTTCTTACATCTCCTGGTGATTTAAACTTTCTTCTAAAACCAAACTAACAGACAAACTGGCTGGTGGGGCTGACCAGAGAGGGCAACTGTTGTCCAGTCACTGGTTTCAATTTTGTGTGCATTATTATAACATGTTGATAAAATGCTTTCATGTGTACTATATGATGAGATTCTCACTTAGGACTTCAACTTCCAGGGCTGAGGAGGTAGGAGGGTTTAGAGACTCGTTTAGCGAACATCAAGCCCTGGGTGGACCCCAGCTTTGCATACATCATAAACCACACATGGTTCTGCATGCACGTCATCTAGCACTTAGGAGATAGAGGCAGGAGGATCAGAAGTTTGAAGTTAGTGTAGATTGGACCCGTCTGAGTTACATGAGACCCCCCCCCATGCCATAAAAAAATGAGACGTGTTCAAGGTCACATTCTGAGAACTTTGGGTGCACAAGTTTAAGGCTATGGCTGTGGGAAGAAAAGATGAATAGTGGAGCAAATCTCTACAGGACAAAGTTTACCCAGTGTGTGTGTGTGTGTGTGTGTGTGTGTGCAACATAATAGCGTTGGAGATGGACTAGGGAACTCATATCCTCAACAGAACATATAATATATGAGCTGCGGTTCTGGTCACCAAAGTGGGCTATGATCTTAGGACTCTAAAGCCTACAGAGGAATTCTGAAAAGGTAGAACAACTCAGGATCTCAAAGCTGAACGAAACCCTGGGCAGGTAGAACCTAACTAGGGGTCTGAGTCAACAGAAGCAAGAGTAAGTGTGAGGAAGAACCCGCAGGCTAACAGCTGTTCTTGCCTCTTATGAGGGCTAGTGGCCAGACCCACTGAACCGTTAAGGTCTGCAGGGACAATACCCATATTGGAGTTTTTCATCAAAGTACTTTCAGTACCCAGCCTACAGCAGGTGGCCAATACACACGCTGAATGAGTGAACCCCTGGGCTTGTCTTCCATGGCACTGTCTAAATCCAGTAACTCAATGGCTTTGTACTAGTGGGCTGCAGGGGTGGTGGAACTTGCTTTAGTTCCCAGCAGTGGGAGGCAGAGCCAGGGGGACCTCTGTGAGTCCACGGTCAGCCAGAGCTACACACAGCGATGTTTTGTCTCAAAACAAAAACAATATCACAAACAAACCGGCACACAGCAGCAACAACAAACTGGTTGAGCGCTCAGCTTTTTATCCTGCTTCACTGCTGAAAGCCAGATAGTACCTGGTGGGTGAACAGTGTCTGGCACACACAGGAGCAGTGCTGCAATGTGTTCCCAATATTCTCATTACTGATGACATTTAGTCAGCAGCAGCTGTGGTACAAGGACAACATGTTCTTGCCTTGTGGGCTTGCAGCCTAATGACAGAAAACAAAGCAAACAACGGGTAGCTTTTCTGTGAGCATGGATGTGGGTGAGCACGCGTGTGGGTGAGCATGGATGTGGGTCAGCATGCATGTGGGTGAGCATGCATGTGGGTGAGCACGCATGTGGGTGAGCACACATGTGGGTGAGCATGCATGTGGGTGAGCATGGATGTGGGTGAGCACGCATGTGGGTCAGCATGGATGTGGGTGAGCATGGATGTGGGTGAACATGCATGTGGGTGAGCATGCATGTGGGTGAGCACGCATGTGGGTGAGCATGCATGTGGGTCAGCATAGATGTGGGTGAGCACGCATGTGGGTGAACATGCATGTGGGTGAGCATGCATGTGTGATGGTGCTGCATGAAAGGCACTGAGAAATAACTTCCTGGATTTTTACCAAGATCAGCTGGCATTATTTCTCATTTTGAAGATAAGTAAATGAGAGAAATGACAGTGTCAGCACTGTGTGAACAGCTTTGCCTGGAGCACCTGTCTTTTCTTGTGCCCTGTCTAGGTGGTGACTGGGTAGAAGTGCTTGCCGTTTCCATACTAGGTAAGTAAGTATGTCATCAAAAGCACAACCTGGGTCTCTATTTGGAAACAGGTCTGTGGTAAGAAGGGTGATTTGAGGGCGTGAAATTTCTATTTATTACACTTCTTGTGTGTGTGTGATGTGTGTTTGAGGACGCATGGGTACAGTGACAGACAACTCTGAGGAGTCTGTTTTCTCTTAGCTTTACAAGGTCCCGGGGACTGAGCTCAGGTTGGCAGGCTTGTGAGCCATCCTGCCAGCATTTGAAAGAGAAGAGCAAACGGACACAAAGGACTGAAAAGCTGGTCACTCCTGTATCAGACCTGACACCTGTCTTCACCTCCCTAGCCCAATAGAGAGCTACGTGGCGGTTTTCAGGGCTGAGATAAGGGCTTCATCCATTTCTGTCTTAAGGTGTCTCTATGGAATCTTTCCTGCAAGGCCCTTTTTCTTTTGGTACTTGCATGTAATAATTTGGGGGTGGGGGCAGCTCAGGCTAGGTGAGGGAGCCCTGTGAGCCCTCAGCAGAGGACAAGCAGATGGCACTATCTAGAAACCTTCCTCTATTTGCCCTCTCCTGCTGCTCCTTCCTCGCCGAATCTGCTTTCCAAACTGACTTTCTCCAGGTGCTCTCCTTCCCATGATTCTCCCAAAGTTACAACGCAGCACCTCAGCTTCTCACAAACTGAGAATCTGTGGAGTTTCAGGGAACAGTCTGGAACATTTTTTTGGCAATATGTCCTTGATAATTTAGTGCGACTGCCTTTCTTTCCAGATCCTCCCCACCCCCGCCGCGCCCCAAACAGCTTTCTTACGGGTCAACTAGGGTGAAGATCAAGGAAATTGTGTAAATTGTTGCTTCTTTAGGAGCCCAAACTCTAGGCTATTATAATAATAATTTTAAAATGCATGGGGACTATTGCCCGGTGCAGGAAAACTCTTAAGGACCAAACATCTGTGTGCCCTTGGGGGAAGGGAGGAGTGGGTTTCATTAGTGCCTTTGTTTGGGAGACTCTTGAAAGTTCTTGGATCCTCAACCCAGATCTTTTCTGGCTTTAGAAACTCACAACAAACGCAAGTCCCCGCCCCCACCCGGCTGAGACTACCAGTGGAGTTCTAGCACGTCTGGAATATTTGTGCAAGGCCATTCCCTAAGGGTCACTTTCCCCTAATCTGGAGGCAGCTCGCACTGAAAGTCTGGAAGGAACCGGGCAGCATCGTGCCTACTGCAAGACGCAAAGGTACCAGCCACGCGCAATCCTCGGGGTCTCCGCAAGGACCAGAGCTCGGTAAAGTGGCCGGAAGCTTTCGGCTCTTTTAAAGAAACAGCCACGCGGGGCGTTGGTGGTAATCCCAGCACTCCGGAGGCAGAGGCAGGCGGATCTCTGTGAGTTCGAGACCAGCCTGGTCTACAAGAGCTAGTTCCAGGACAGCCTCCAAAGCCACAGGGAAACCCTGTCTCGAAAAAAAAAAAGAAAAGAAAGAAACAGCCACACCTTCCCAGCAGCCTAAACATGCTGTATTCTGATTTTAGCCTCCATTAGTTTTCCTTGAACATCTGCCATCGGAAAGCACCCACCACCCACGCCCACGCGCGAAGTCCCACCCACCAGAGAACCATAGACCCCTCCCTCAGCCCAGAAGCGCCCGACCCTGAAGCCCCGCCCAGTCACCCATCCCGGAAGCTGCGCGCGCAGCGCAGAAGCACGTTCAGCAGTTGGGGTTGAGTGCGCGGCAGGTGCAGGCACTACGGAAGAAGCGACACTGGCAGGAGGCGCACGGGTCGCAACAGGCGGGCGCAGGCGGCTTGCAGCTGTCTCGGGTGGCCACGCAGGGCGTGGGTGGCGGGGGCCGCGCCACCTTCTTCATCGAAGCCTTTTTCTGTAGGAAAGACATCGAGGGCTGCTGAGTGTGCCGCGCTGGTCCCGCGCCACCTCATTTGCTGAGACCCCTGCCATGGTGCCCACGTCTACTCACAACGTCCCTGGCCGCTACCCCAACCTGCACACCGCCTTCATCTTCAAGCTTACCTAGATCCGACCTGGCCTTTTTCTTAGGAGATCCCGCTGTAATTTTGCTACTGTTGTGAATTATGGTGGAAATACCATATTAAGAACCGCTACTGTAGATTACTAGATTTTTTCATTTAAATGCACTTAGGCCTTCACCGTGCTTTAATTTCTTCACAGTGTGTATGATCTAAAAATTTAAACTTGTTTATTAATTTACTTGCGGCCTGGTTTCCCACTTCTGTGTTCCCAGCACCTAGCACATACTTATATATTTTGTTCTGTCTTCCCTGCCCTGGTTACAGTTGATCCAATTAGCTGAGGCACAAAAACAGGAATAGCGTGTGAATTTCAACAATGCCTCAATCTGGTATTTATCAAAGTGCGGGGACCTGTATCATGGCAGTATGGCAGTATGGTGGTAGGTACGAAAACGTTAAATAGTCCTTAACCACTTAGTGAGACGGCATTCTTTTTTCTGTCTGTCTTAGCTTTGAAAGGCTCTGTTTGGTGCTGACATGTCCTTAATTGCTTTCCAACACATTTTTCCCCCTGGGGGAGGGAGCGCAGTCACTGCTTTTTTGTCCTTATTTTACATACTTAGTATATTTAATGAATGCATTTGTTAGTAAACAAGACCAATGTTTTAGGAAAGTAGTAAAGCACAGATATATATTTCATTCTCACAAGAAAATAGACCATTTTGGGGTCTGTAGAACAGTGTTCTCCAAATTGCTTGTCCCTTCAAGCATTTTCCTGTCTGACTTGCTAGATTGATCTAGACTGCTTGTTGGAAGTAACAATTGCCAGCTCTAATTCTAGCTCTAATTTTGGTCTGGTATGGCACATGTACTTTAGGTCTAACTGCCTTTTAACAAAGCAAGCTTTAGAGCCTTTGCAGGTAATAGTACCCAGCTGGTGGGAATTAAACTCAGGTCTTTGTTTGCTACAGGCAAGTTTTACTACTCCACTACACCCCCACCCTTTTAAAATGTTTACTTTGTGACAGTGTTTCAGTTTGCCCAGGCAGACTTTGAATTTGCTGCATAGCTCCAGTAGCCCTTGAACTAGGGGTCCCCTCTCAGTCTCCCAAGCAGCTGGCTTTACAAGCCTGTGCTGCTAGGCTCAGCTTCCAGTGTTTTATTTTCATTGAATTTTTGTTTTTACTCTAGCTACAGTGGTTGTGCAGCCCAGGCTTATTCAGAACTTGGCATGTAGTTTGGGGTGGCTGTGAACTCTTGATCCTACTGCTTCCACTTCCCAAATACTAGGGGTATAGCTGTGTGCCACCACACCCAACTTCTATGTTCTATTCTTGACATTTTCTGATTTTCAGACAGGTAAAACAGCTGGGCACAACAGCCTGGACCTGTAATCTCAGCACTTGAGCTCCGGACAAGGAGGGTCAGTAATTTACAGGCAGCCTGTACTACACAGCAAAAACTTGCTGAAAATAGCCTTGGGCCGAGAGTACGGCTCAGTGGTGGGACACTTGCTTAGCTTGCAAGGAGGAGGAAAACAAGAAACTTAGGTACAGCAAGAGTGGTTCTGCAGCGGTTGGGGTTTAGGTAAATATCCAAAAGAATGGGTGACAGCTTTCAGGAAGGGGTGACAGCTTTCAGGAAGGGGTGGGTTGCTTAACTGGCACTGGAAACTTAAAAAAAAAATCAGGTAGCTGTTTTGCTCAGTGAACTTAAGCTCCCTGGCTTTTATGGAAGTCTGCCTCAAGGCTCTAACCCGGGAAACCTTTAAGTAGCTGTCAGTTATTTCATGTAGGTAGGCCTGGAGACATCTTACATTTAGTTCTCAGCCACGGCCTGCAGGTCTCCACCCCCACCGTGAGAACCCCAGACCTACCTTGGAGGATCTCTTCTGCTTCTCGGCTTCTTTTCTGCTGATCTTCTTGGATTTTTTGTTCAGTGCTTCAAAGAAAGACAGAAAGAGCAGAGCCAGATGTTTCTGGGGGCCCCAGTTATGACGTGGGAGGAGCAGGGGGGCTCTGGGAAGTCTCAGAGAGGAGGAGAAAAAGGAACTTTGGGATGAATCACATTATGGGAATCAAGCCAGCAGGTTCTTATTAGCCTGGCTTCAGACCTAAGAGCAGTGTGCTCCTGGGAAGGCAAAGAGGAAATTCAAGAGGGATCTGGGACCTGTCTGTGGCCTCTGTTAGAGAGCTTCCTGGTCTTTTGACCTTCCAGCCCTTGACTGCCACAGGGGCCCCTGTTTAAGCCTTTAACCGTGCAGGTGTCTGGAAATGGACTCAGTCTTTTGTTACTGGACACATCTGTGTTACCTTTTTTTTTTTAATTCTCAGCTCAGGGCCAGATATGCCTGACTTAAATCCATATAACAGCTGTGTGATCTTCTCCCAGACAGTTTCCTCATCTACACAAAAAGGGTTCTATCATGTAAAATATATTTATAAACAGAAAGTCTGGCACGGGACTGGAGAGATGGCCCCGCCATTAAGAGCACTTGATGCACTTCTAGAAGACCCAGGTTTGTTTCCCAGCACCCACACGGTGACTCCAGTTTCAGGGGCTCTGACATGCTCTTCTGGCCTCTGAGGGTACCAGTCCTGCACAGAAAGCATAAAAATATATGAAGGCAGAGCACCCATTTACATAAAAGTAGAATATTTTGCATATCAATGGTGATTAGGAAATGCCAGCGTCTCCGTCTCCTCTTTTCCCTCCTTTGACTTCCCTGATACACATAGACCAGTAGTCCTCAACTTGTAGCTTGTGACCATTTTGGTAAACCTCTATCTCCAAAAATATTTACATTACAATTAATAACAGTAGCAAAATTACAGTTATGAAGTAGCAACACAGACAGTTTTATGGTTGGGGGTCACCACATCATGAGAATTGTATTAAAGGGCCACAGCTTTAGGAAGGTTGAGAACAGCTGCTTTAGACCATTTCTGTGTCTAGTGAAATGCCGGTCAACACAGAGTTGTGAGCTTACATGTATAATTCGCAGTTGTTTGAATTCTGGCTGGGCCCATTAGGAACTAATGTCAGTAAGCTCCAGCTCTGTCAGTTGTAAGGTATAAAGAAAACCAAGAGCCACCTCACAGAAGCTACACGCGCCTAATTTGTTTTGGTTGCAGGACCTGGATCCGGGCGTCATGCCTGGGAAGCATGCACTCTGCCTTCATGCTTCATCCCTGGCCCCAGCCCTGTGCGATGAGGTGAGTCAAACTCCAAGATCCCCAGTGCAGACTTTGATGCTCTTGTAACTTCCCATCCTGTGGCAAGACTGGTTTATTGCAGACTTAGTTCTATTCCATGGTTTTCCTAAAGCTTGTTTTGTTGAGGGGTTTTGTGATTCATTAAGTTTATAAATGCTAAGTTAAACTAAGCCCACCAAGCATCTTGACTTGATGTTTCTTCAGATCTATGACACACCAAAACTTGGTGGCATGCAAAACTTTCCCAAACCCAGTGACTCAAGGACACTATTTCCCTAGGAATGAGCAAGAACCTATGCTGGTGGCAGCTTGGGCAACAGACTTGACATACTGTACCTGCTCTCATGGGTCAGAGCCTAGAGGCTGGGCCCCAGGCCAGGCTACTTACCCACGATAGAAACAGAAGAGAAATCCAATGAGTTCATGGAGGAGTTGCTCCTCAGACTCCTGTCATCTCTGAGTGTCTCCTCAGGTACCATGTGGCAGTAGATGGCAAGGAAGCATAAGAAGCCCACGAGGGTGGCCAGGAGTAGGCGAGTGACATCCATCCTGAGAAGCCTAAGTTGGACAGAGAAGGTGGTCTGTGGTGAGTTCGGAGAGAAGATGATGGTAGGAGGATGTGCCTTTGCGATGGCTGGCTGACTTGGCCTCACAAGCGTCTCGGCAGGGCCGGAAGTCTAGCAATACTGAGGGCAGGGATGTTGTATAGGGAGATGACAGAAAAGGAGAGATGGGGAGAAGAGAGAAGACGAGGAAGGGAGGGAGGGAGGCTGAAGCAAAGAGGGCAAGAATGCATTGTGTTGGTGTGTGCTGTCCAGAGGGCGGAGTACTGACTCTTTCTGTGTCTTTTCTTGTTCCTGTATAAGCGCTGGTCCCAGGAGACCTTAGGCCTAGGCAGAGCTGTTGAAAGCGCACCCCCTACTCCCCAGGAGGGCCTCCTCTCAGGGGCAGAGGTCTTACTAAGGTAAAAAGAGTACACATAAAAGCTCAGCGAGAGGGATGAGAAAAAGCCTCCTGAAGACAAGTGGCTGTCATCTCATGCCAGATTCCCTGCTGACCCAGAGGGAACAAACACAGATCAGACTGTGTCAGGGTATGGCAACATAAGATAAATGGATTTCTTAATCTGCTAGTTGGAGTTTGAAGGGGCTGATGGATTTTTTTTAGCAGGTTTCTTCCCTTGAATGCCTTCTGTCACTATGGGATCCCCACTCTAACCTACCCAACTGCCCCATTTCCCTCTCTGGTTTTGGAAAAGCCTGGGTCTACATTTCCAAGATTTCCTCTACCGGAGACATAAGTACTGTGGGGGAGAAGAGAATAACGGTTTGCTCATCCTGATCCTACCCACTGCTGGTTCCCTGTGCAGCTGTCTGGCCAGCTCCAGCCTCCTCCTCTCCACCCTCAACTTGGTTGGTGTGCTGGCTAGTTTTTATGTCAATGTGACACAAGTCAGAATCATTTGGGAAGAGAGCACTTCAATTGAGAAACTGCCCACACCAGACTGGCCTGTGGACAAGCTTGTGGTGCATTTTTTGATTGATGATTGACGTGGGAGGGCCCAGCTCATGAGGGGCAGTGCTACCCCTGGGTTGATCGTCTTTTGTGCTATAGAAAGCACAGTGAGTAAAGCCATGAAGAGAAAGACAGTAAGAGGCGCTCCTCCATGGCATCTGATTCAGTTCCTGCCTCCAGGTTCCTCCCTGACTTCCGCTGATGATGGACTATGACCTGAAAGTTGTAACCTGGAATAAACCCTTTCCTTGCCAAGGTCATGGGTTCTAATGCAGCAATAGAGACACGAACATGGGTGGCACCAGGTTTTCTGCATGTGTGTTACATTGCAGGAGAAGATGCAATCAACTCTGGCCTCTGCCCCTTGCAATCTTCTTGAAGCTGTAGGGGATGGTCCTGACCTTTAGAAATCCACCCACCCATATGGCCCCAATGCCAGTTCTGATCACCTCAGGTCTTTTTCACCACTGGGCACTGCAGGTCAGAAACTTGCCACCAAATTGCTTTCAAAAAGTCTAGTTAGCTGAGAGTGGACACTGGCCCAACCACTGTGATTTTAGTGTTGGCTCAGCAATAAAGGAGATGTACAACTCTGGGCAAAATTGCTCTTTTTGGCAGGCTTCAATTTCTCTCCTGGTAAAATGAGAGGAATGGACTATATGAGTTTTTGCACTCATATGTAGGATAACTCTTCAAAACAAGTGACAGAATATGTAAAATGGGGCTAGGTAGCTCAGTTGGCAGAGCACTTGCCTAGTACACACAAAGTCCTGGATTCAATTCCCAGCCACTACATAAACTGGGGGTGGTAGTATACAACTATAGTCTTAGAGCACTCAGGAGAATGAGAAATCTAGGGTCATCCTTGGCTACATAGTGAGTTCAAGCTCAGTCTAGGTTGTTACTAAGACCCCATCCCCTGGCCAATAAACAAACAAACAAACAAAGAAATTGATAAATTGGTAACACAGAAGCCACTAGATCATGTCTCACCTGAAGACCATCTTATACCTGGACTTCCATATAAACCAATGTTTCCCTTGTTTGAAGCTAGTATGAGTTGAGAGTTTTCTTCTCAACCCAAGTCTTGTGGGGGTGGGGGATTGGTGGGGGGTTATTTGTTTTGGCCTTGAATATGGGAAGTGTGTGCAGAATTTGACTCTATTGTAGACCTTCCTCCAAGGACCACCTTCCCTAGGAAAGAATTTTGGTCTCCATCTTGGTCTCCCTCCCCCCCCTTCCTGATCTTTCTATTTTCTCATCAAGTTTTACTTTATGCTCCCTTCAAGAAATCCCCTTGTCTTTTACCCCAGTCTCACCCACTCCCTTTCTTCTTTGAGATGGGGCTTCTCTGTGCATTCCTGGCTGTCCTTGAACTCAGAGATGTGCCCACCCTTGCCCCAGAGTGCTGGGATTAAAGGCTCCAAAGATTCACTCCCAACGGAACAAGCTTCATACTGACTTCACTCCCCATGTTTCTTTTGCTTATGTATCAATCACCTTGCTCATCTGTCCTCTCATCCTCTCAACTACTCCTGGTTCTGCCTCACCCTTCCTCCAGGACCTGTTCAAAGGCTGGTTCTCAGCACATTTTTCTTTCAGCCAGGCCGGCCCAAATTGTATGCTCTCTCTTTTTGAAACCACCCCCTTTGCTTTCAATGCCATGGACATTGTCCAGTACTTCATTGTTCTTTAATTGTTCACAGGGACTATTCTCATCAGTGAGACACAGTTCTTTGTATAAAGTAGGTAGGATGACAGTGAGGCTGAAAGAATGTTGGATCTGTGGTCAGACATACGTGACTCCATCACTGACTACCAATTATACGAGTGCAGAGGGGAGAGAGGTTCTCTTGACCCCCTCTTAGTTCTTATGTGGGCTTTTTGGCTGGATCTAGAAACCCAGTTAGTATAAAGACTGATTAATAAGAGCAAAAGCATAAAGTTTTATTAAATTTACGTATATATGGGGATGTTCACAAGAGAATGAAGTCTGAAGAAATGCCCAAAGCATGGTGCTTTTATATTCTTTAGACAAAGAACAATAAATTTGTAAAGTAATGACAAGACAATTGGCTATCTGGATGAGAGAAGTAAATTATGGAACCGTTGCTAACAGATATATGGGGTAAGGGAAATCTAAGACAGAGATGATGCTGCATTTAAGAAGCTACGGAAGGTTTGCTGAGATGGCAGGTAGACATAAGGGGATGAGACTTGCAAATGATGCTAAGCAATTTGAGCAATATCTTCAACTGAAAATTACTGAAGAGTGTGGATGAGAGAAAGCACTTTAATCATATCTGCAATATAGAAAAATCGCTCTGGTGGCTGTGGGGATGGAAGGAATAAGAACGGGAGAAAGGAAGACAATTAGGGGATTGCTGTGGGACTCGGGACCATCTTTCCAGTCTTAGTTTTCCTGTGTTCATTTCCTGGAACTCAGTGATTGAGTGTGCAGAAGTATAAATTCCAGTCAAGCTTAGCTGCTTCCTGAACCCTATATGAAAGCCGTTCTTCCCACTTTTTCCTTTTAAACTTGTTTTTTATCACCCCCCCCTTTTTTTTGAGACAGGGTCTCTCATACTTAGTTAAGAACACCATATTCATTCGGAGTATTTATTAAATTATGGCATAATTAATTGCTGTTTTGGGTAAAGATATTGATGACCCTTACTAATTAAAAAGCAGATGTGGTAGCCCGGTGGTGGTGGTGGTGGTGGCGGCGGCGGCGGCTGCGGCAGCTGCAGCGGTACACACCGTTATTCCCAGCACTCAGGATGCAGAGGCAGGTGGATCTCTGTGAATTCAAAGCCAGCCTGGTCTACAGAGCAAGTTCCAGGACAGCCAGGGCTGATACACAGAGAAACCCTGTCTCAAAAAACAAGCCACAAAACAAACAAACAAACAAACAAGCAGATGCAATGCTGGGGATGTGGGCCAGTGGATAAAAGCACTGAGTTTGGGTCTCCAGACCCATGAGAAAGTGAGACACAGAAACATAAGTGTCTGCAATCCCAGCCTACCCCTGTGGAGAGATGGGAGGCAGGAGAATCCCCAGAAGCTCCCAGGCCAGCTAGCCTAGCGTGTTTGGTGGTGAGAAGTCCTGTCTTAAACAAGGTGGGAAGGCACATATGCTGTGACTTGTGTCCCTGTACACCCCACCACCATGCAAGCATACGCATGTGCCCAACCCCTGCCCAACACACACGAAAAGGCAGATGTGGGGGGGTAACTTAGTCAGGAGAGTGCCTGCCAAACAAGCAGGGCTTGGATTTGTCCACCACCCACTCCATAAATACACTTATAATATCAGCACTCAGGATGTGGAGGCAGGAGGATTACAAGTTTCTTCCTCTGATATATAGAGTTCAAAGCCAGTCTGGGATACATGACACCCTGTCTCAAAAAATAACTAAAGAGGACCTGGTTCAGTCCTTGGATAAAGGTGCTTGCTTTGCAAGTCTAGAGGCCAGAATCTGAACTCCAGAATTTACATAAAAGTGGGAGGAGAGAACTGACTCCAAAGAGAAACTGACCTCCACACTTGTGCTGTGGCACAGACAGCTCCCCCAATAATAATAATAAAATGACGTCTAAACATAAATAAGCAAGGAGCTGGGGAGCGGGTAAAGTGCTTGCTGTGTAAGCATGAGGACCTGAGCTTGGGTCCTCATCACCCCCTTCAGAGCGGGGGAGCCTGCCTGTAAGCCTAAGGTGAAGTATTGGGGTGGAGCTGAGTAGATTCCCCAGAGCTTGCTGACCAGCCAGTCAGTCCAGACAGACAGCAGGCTCCAGGCTAAGTGAGACACCATGCCTCAAAAACTAAGGTGAAATGTGGATGTGGCGGTATACACCTGTAACTTCAGCACTTGGGTGGCAGAAGCAGGTAAATCTGTGAGTCTGAGGTCAGCCTGTATACATAGTGAGTTCCAGGCCAGCCAGGGCTACATTATGAGACCCTGTCAAAACAAAACAAAACAGTCACCACCAACAATAATGATAATGCAGACAGCAGTAGAAAAAGACAACTAATGTCAGCCTCTGGCACCACACACACACACACAAAAATAAGTAAAAATGAATAACAAGGCAGATGTGTTCTTAGGTGACTTGTGCTATTATTAACCGGTAATATTCCTCATTAATGTATCAGACTTCAGATGAATGCAGGGCTGGGTTCTAATGGGGTGAGAGTCAGGACCAGTGAGTTTGGATTGTTAGAATAAACAAAATTTGCATCATGAATACTTGAAGCTTTCCGTTAGCCTATGCCACATAGAATTATATAGATTCAGTCTAATAAAGTTTAGACTACATATAAAAATCTAACTACATGCAGTTAAATGTGTATTTTAAATTTTATTCTGTAGCTCCCGTTTCTTCCAAAAACAAGTTTATGTTTAACTTGAGCCTCTAAGTGTGCCAATGAGACCCCCACCGTGTCCCCCAAGTAGCAGAGCTGTAGTATTGATAGGTACTAATTAGAAGATCAAATAGATGGATATATGATGGGAGGGTCAGGAAGCAGCTCTGATCACAGCAAGACACAAGAGGCGACACCACTGGTCAGGAGGCAGTGTGGCCTCTTTGTGTTCTCTACCATAAATGACATGGTGTTGCTGCACTGCTTAATGTGAATTCCTGCAGAGAGGAGGAAGGGTGTTGGGAAATCAGATTTAGAAAAGGATGGGGGGGGTGATTGAGACCGAGGGACAGAGCTCATGAGACAGAACATGCATGATGGAATTGAATCAATAGTTTAATACAACATCACATCCAAGGGGTAGAGGGACTCATGAGCAATAGGTAACAGATAGCATCTGGGGGTATGGACATCCATGGTGCAGCCAAAGTGCATGTTTATCACTCTGAACAGCTTGTAATGCAGAAAGATCCTTGTCATCAGAGTCTTCACAGACACTGCAGAGGGGGCTGGAGGGCCCAAATGATCTTGGGACACACAGTGAATGATAAGTAAAAAAAGGAAAGTTCTGATATATTTAGAAACACTGCAGAGGGGGCTGGAGGGCCCAAATGATCTTGGGACACACAGTGAATGATAAGTAAAAAAAGGAAAGTTCTGATATATTTAGAAACTTAGGCTAAGTTTGAGAAAGATAAAGCTTTGGTGTAATTTATTATACTTGGGTGTTGGGAGAGGGAAAAATGTGATACAGAACCAGAACACATGGGGATGTTAGCATCTGAGATCATAAAGGTTTTAGAATTTATAATTTTGTGGATGTTTTGAAAAACAGCTATCGCCTATGTATTATATTGAACCACATAAGTTTAGGTGTACCCAACTAAAAAATATTGAGAATTGGGCAGGTGACGCTTGGGAGGCAGAGACAGGAAGACTACCCAAGAGTTCATGGCCAGCCTGGTCTGCATAGTGAGTTCTAGGCCAGACCCTATCTCAAGAAAAATTGATGTTCCCATAACATAAAAAGGAATATTTTAAAAGGAATATTTATAATAAGCAGGATAAAGACTATGGATTTAATTCCTCTGATTCAGGACAGATTGTATTGTCAAATGAATTCAGGTAAGGTCAGATTTTGATGCCAAATGAGGGAGAGGACTTACAGG